AAAATGCCACTGGAACTTGTATTTTGCCACCTAATCTTAGAAGGTAAAAAAGGAACTATACTAAAATAAAATGTGAAGTGAATTTGTAAATCTAAGTTGGTGCCTCATTCTTAGAAACTCATGCTACTATGCAAGAATTGAAGTTTTAAAGATTGTCGGGAATATCAATTCATTTAACATGTTTTAAGTTCAAGAGATGATTTGAATTATTATGCTTACGAGGAACTATAGGTGAAAAGTAAACATTAAAATATTGGAAGTGCTAAATATGTAAGTGTACCTTTTCTCTTTTCTCTCTTTAAAGTCCAACTTTTACTTCCAAAAAGTATAATGAGAGTATGAGACATGAGAATAGAGTCATGATCCGATGACACCAAGTGTAGGTCTAAAAACTTGCACCAAATCTTATACTTTTAATAACATTTTGTTTAATGCAAATTTAACTGACCCAATTGTTGAATTATGTAATATTATATTGAGGTTCATGTATATCAAATTTCACATGATTTAAACTTTTTTTGATATATCATCCAATAATAGATATTTATACATGATTTAACTATCATATTATATGTTAAAATGAAGTAACTTGATGAAATATTAAATAATTTTGAAATCATGTGAAATTTGATACACGCGATCTTGAGTATAATATCACATAATTCACCAATTGGATTGGTTAAATTTGTATTATACAAAAAGTTATTGAATGTATAAGATTTGATATAAGTTTTTAGATTTTCACCTTGTGTAAATGGATCTTGATTCTCCAGAATATGATAAATCTCTCCTTGAAGTTTGGTTTGTACTTTGGAATCACAAATAATTCTCAAAGCTTTTCTCCCTTTTAAACTATCCAACTTGTAACCCGTATGTGACTTCTTTATTATTTTTCTCATTATTTTGTAATATTGATTCCAAATATTTAAACTTAGAAGTCTGTGATATGATATCTTCTCCCATTACGTAGTCATTTTCTTTTTGTTTCTTGTTAAAATTTCCATAGATATGCTGTGTCATAAGCCTAGTTAAATGAAAACTATTTGGTTCCAAAGTTTGTCTCTAAAGACCTCTTCCCATGCTTTTTCCTCAAAAAATGCAATTAGGGTTGTTATTTTGTATATACTTCATAAGCACACCCAATTAGATGCATTCTACCCTTATAGGAAAATCTTTTGCCTCCCTTATTGAAGTTCCCCCACTATAAAGTAAACTATCTTCTCATACGTCTTGTATAGTTTGGATTTAAGTTATGAAAACACATTTCTTTTCCAATGTCTTCCATAACACTTTTCTTGGCACAAAATCAAATGCTTTTTCTGAGTCAATACAAATCATATAGAACTCTCTTTCTTTGTTACAGAACCCTTTCATCAATGCTCGTAGAAGATAAATGTCTTTGTTGTAGACAGTAGACCTTCTTGCCATAAAACCAAATTGAATATCCATTAGTCTAATCTCTTCTCGTAATCTTTTTTTATATATTCCATCACCAAATTTCATAGTGTGTCATAAGTTTTATTCCCTATAGTTTACACAATTTTGAATATCTCTCTTGTTCTTAAATATAAGAACCAAAGTGTTTGTCCTCTACTTATTTAACATTTTCTTATATCTCAAATTCTCACTAAATAGCTTGAACAGAAAAAAGATACTTTGTTTTCCTGCACACTTCCACAGTTCAATTAGAATACCATCTGGACATTACTCATCAGTCATCATCTTAAGGACTTCTTTTACCACTCCAACCTGAATTTTACAGTAGTAAGCCAAATTTTGTTTGTTCTCTTGGATTTCTAGTCTGTCTATTATGAAAAGCTTATAAAAATTATTGTATCATCTTTGATATATTGATTTGTGTCCAAAACTTTTTCTCCATCCTTAATACATCTTATGTAATCCAAATCTTTTGTTTCCCTTTCTCTATTTTTGACAAACTTTTTTATATATGTTTCCTTCTCCATTCCTTGTCCCAAGATTTTGGTAAAACTCTTCAAAATCTTTGGAATCATGCCTCACTCATAGCTTTCCGTGTGTCAGTTTCTAGCATTTTGAAACCTTGCCCAATTCTCAACCTTGTAGGTAAGTGTAATTTTCAATTTGGTTTTGGTAATATACTTGGTTTTAATAGGTCTTATATTTACATTATTGAAAATCAATTTGCTTTTTTAAGGTTGACCATCTAGCAATTTACTTGCTATGAGTCTATGACATTTAATGGAGTGCTCATTGATTTGGGAATGTTTTATGATAAGATTCTAAGAAGTTATTGTTGATGCTTTAAAGAAGAAAGGGGTTCATATTGCATATATTGGAAATGTTAGCAACACATTCTCTAATATTTGATTAACTTGTTGGTAAGTATAATTCTTAGAATTGGAACTATGTTTATCCACAGGACTCACGTTTTACTCCTCACCATTGTTATTATCTGTAGTGTTTGTCTTTTTATTTTAATTTCTTTCCTTTGTTTGACTCATTACATTTTTGAAAGTGCACAATTTTCATACATATTTTAATTTATTTTGTTTTCTGCAATTAGTCAAAGGTGAGTGCTCATTCATTTTGAATATTGTTTGGTTGGTATGGTCACATTGTCGAGCTTTAGAAAATATCCAGTTGACTCCAGAATATTGCTGGCTTCAGTTGTTTGATTGATGATTAATCTGTAGCACAGTTTTCTAAAAGCATAGAAACAAAGTTTCCTTTGGAAATCAAGTTTCCTGGATGGAGCTGAATTATTAGCAAAATAAAAAAAATATTGGTGTTACAACAGAATCACTGTTATTTTTTATGTATTAAGCAACAATCCTTACCTGTTTTGTGATCTTTTCTAGTGTGTGCAATGGCATGTCAACTGCAACTACATTGCAACTGGTTCCAGTGACAAAACAGTTCGACTATGGGATGTGCAGAGTGGCGAGTGTGTCCGAGTTTTTGTTGGTCACAGGGGTATGATTTTGTCTCTGGCAATGTCTCCTGATGGTCGCTATATGGCATCTGGCGATGAAGATGGTACGATCATGATGTGGGACCTTTCTAGTGGCCGTAGTCTTACACCTTTAATTGGGCACACATCATGTGTCTGGTCGCTCGCTTTCAGGTGATGATCCCCTACTGCGCTACTTTATCATAATTCGGAAGGGAATTAAATTAAAGTTGAGTTAATTAAATTAAAGTTTTGAGTTAGCTATCAACCTCTCAACAATACTCGCGCTAATCAAAATTGTTGTATCAGTTCTGAAGGTTCTATTCTAGCATCTGGATCTGCTGATTGCACTGTAAAATTATGGGATGTAAATACGAGCACCAAGGTTTCAAGGGCTGAAGAAAAGTAAGTTCTCGTCTATTACATAATTGTTTTGGATCGTTTGGCATAGGAAATCTTTTATTTCTAACAAATCCACTTCCATGGGAAAATTTGTAAAAATTGTTTAGTTATTGTTCAACTTTTATAGGAATACCATCAATTATTATGGAAAAAGTGTACTAAATTTTTACACTCAATTACCACAAGCTTTTATTCTCACTTATTCATAGATTAACGTTTTCAAAGATCTTTCATTCTCGGGAAATATCTTTTTCTTCTTTCAAACACGAAAAACTTAGTCTTGTGCCTTTTTTAGGAATATAAAATAATTACTTGTACTAAATGCCATCTAAAGAATTTTGTTCTACATTACTAGAAGCGGGAATGCTAACAGACTTAGATCATTGAAAACTCTGCCAACCAAATCGACTCCAGTTTACTCTTTGCGGGTAAGATCTATAATGCTTTATTACATGGCATAATGTTGATAGTAGTATAATAATTTACAGAGGATATGATTTGATGCTTGTTATTTTGTTTTTTGAAGCAGTTTTCTCGAAGGAATCTTCTTTTTGCGGCTGGAGCACTAGCAAAAAGTGGCTAATATATTGAGTATGTCTGTTAATAGATCAGGTCAAGTGGCTGGCTGAAGCGCCTAAAAAGCAACGCACATTATTGTTACGTACTCCCTCTGCCTCCTTTGACCTATCTGCAGACTCTAGTGTAGGAGGACTATTTTAGAAATGTAGTTAATTTACTCATTAAATTTGTCAGTAATTATTATCCTTAAATTTATCGAGACCTTAATCTCTTTTCATTGAATTAATGTATTTACACCCTTGTGGCTGTTATCGTTTCTTATTTTTGATAATCTAAAGACATTAACGTATTGATGAAAATAATTATAAAAATATTGTAATTAGCTGAAATGTTATAATAATGATTAGACTTTAAAAATGTTTCTTTTAAAAACTGCGGGGATTATTTTTCTATTATAATTCTGACCTGAGTATTTCTTTTTTTGGTTGTACATTGTGACATCATTTCTTCCGCTATATATATATATATATATATATATATATATATATAGAAAAAGTACTAAACTTTTCGTTGTGTCATACTCTAGTTTTTTATTTTTGTATTCCAGAACACGAGAATTATGCGGGAGGGAAGGGATTTAGATGGAGGATCCTTGACGCCTGTCAACATTTGATTGGAAAAATTATATTAAAATTGCACATAATCAAGAGAGGCACGCAAAATCAGAATAATGGAAACTCCGATTTAGTAAAAAAAAAAAAACAACTTACTAACCTAGTGGACAAAATAGCAGCATGCGGTGATCATTCTTAAAATATTTCAACTGAGAGGAAAAGAGAAAGCAAGAGTTCTATCAAACCACATTATATGTTTCCTAAACAGGGATAACGGATCGAGGGATTTTACGCTTCATTAATGCATTCTTTTAGAGGTATTTTCAACCACCCGATGGATACATTAATAGATGAAAATGTTTTAAAACAATTAGAGCTCAAGTTCTGCATTAAAAATTAGTAGGATTTTTTTATCGTCCGATGTAGTGCTAATTATTTGACGAATGTTGGTGTTTAAATACCCAAATTTTACGTCAGTGCCTAAATTTTAGATACCTGATAAAATATACGTAGTTCTTACAATTATTAGAAAATACTTCCTAAAAAAGCAACATTTCGTTTCAGTTTCAAGTAACATGACTCTGTACATGCATTATTAACATTTCTTCGTTTCAGTGTCGAGTAACATGACTCTGTACAGGCATCGAATATTACAAACTAGTTCAGAGACAGTTTAAACTTTATCATAAATTCAAAGCAGTTGTTCCGCAAAATTCAAAATAGCCACCTCTTCACAATTTGGATACCATATCTCCTCAACTTGCAACGACTCATGACATCTGAAGTTACTGCCACATGTTCACACAATCCTCATAATTAGACATATTGAGAGGCTTGAGGCACAGCACCGCTAAATCATTCTCACAATTTGTGTACTTCATTCTAGTGGCCGAATACACAAGACTGAAATACTTCACAAACAAAAACAAGAAACAAATCTTTTCAAATTACTTCAAAACATCGCATACCACAAGGCAAATAAGGGAGTCACGATATATGAGTTATACAGACAATAACTGACAAAGAATTATGATATTAATTTTTTTCTTCAGAAAGGTGTACTGTTTGCACAAACCTAAAGTATGGTCAGCACAACGACTTCTGTCAGCTACTACTGCAATCCAATGCCTGGTAGTCTTCTCTTTCTCTTCATACACTAACTGAACTAGGAATAAACACAGTATAATTCAATACATAAAATGCATAATCTTCTCAATCCTTATGTATACATGTATACACGTATTAATTAGGGTTAATCCACTTTTTCATCCTAAATCTGCATGTAGTAAATAGAAAATTACTAGGAGACCCAAAATCAAATGTCAGTCCAAAGTAACAAGAAGTCAATACAAGTCCAAAACAAAATAATTGTTCAAGTTACAGAAAATCCGTAGTTAATGATTTGGACAGAAAAAAATAATATACTACAAAGCACCCAAATGCATTAAGCTTATTATTTCAAAATCAACTGCTCCGGCACATCTTCTGCATTTTGTGCTACAATTTACTTGATTTGATCCTATTTATCTTTACAACTCAGGCTCTAATTAACTCCTAATAATAAAATGAATCAATATTAATAAAAATAGGTAAAGTTCAATGAAAATACCTACTGAGGAAAACAATGGAGGCAATGAGAGCAGACAAGCAAGATTAAAAATTGTGCAAGTGTTGATGGAAGTGATTATCAATTCTAAAGTGATATCAGTTGACTTGTGAGTTAAAAGTATCAATATTAGCCAGAGAGGATCTTGACAATATTTTTCATAATTAGTGGTTTTGGTGAAAAATTGACTACCACTTAGATTTTGCTATGTCACCATGAATTTAGCTATTGTCTCAAAACCAGCTTCCATTCGATGATTAATTACTGAGCTCCAAAAGGTCACTAGATAATGGTTGATTACAAAACATTTGACAAATACAAAAATCCTAATACCATGCTAGGGTGTGTTTAGGTGAGTGACTTGATTAAGTGTTTATTCAAAAACTTATAACATAAGAGCTAGTAAGGTAATTATTAAACTTCCTAAACAACACTTAATTACTTCGATAAGTTTCATTGTAATTGAAGTTTATTAAAATAAGCTAAAAAAATGTCATAAACTCGGATAAAGTTTGTTATTCTTCTAAATTAATTAAAAGTGCCTTATATGTTGTTGGAAAAGTTTCACTGAGGAACATTTATGCACTGGGATATGGTGTTAAATGAAGATGCTAGCTTTTCGTAAAATATAACCATTTGCCTCCAAAGCTAAGGTTCCATCCTATTCTAATATCCTAATAGTTGCGATAAAAATTAAGGCTCACTAAGTAACTTTATGTGCACTAGAAAATTCTTTAGTAGACAAAAATGATATAGGCTAAATCATTAGCCTAAACATTTGTAGAAAGATCATTTGCAGTCAAATTTAAAACCTTAGCAATCACTATTTGAATTGTCATCAAAATGAGTGGTGCACAACAATGTAACAATATGACCTTATGCCAAGATTAGATAAAATTTAGCATTAAATACAAATAACAGGTACATAATCTCCAATTAAGTATAAAAGAAAACATAAATAAGTGAGCACATAATTAAAACACTCACATGGAGCCATGATAGGTATGGAAAAGAAAAAATAACAGTTTCAATTGAAACTCATTGGAAAATCAACACCAATGAACTAAAATGTTAGGTGCAGTTTAGTTTGAAAACACCTCGTATAATTTATTTTTAATTATAAAAACGTCACTTAATTTTTCTATTTTCAAAAGTTTATATAGAAAAATAAAGTGATAATAAGTTACATTTTTTTTATTTAAAAGTGAAAACAAAAAACGTTTTCTCAAATCAAATTAATTGACTTCTTTGTTGAATTTACTCACTTCAACATAGAATGTCAAATATATACTAGCTAGTAAGAATGAATGCACTCATACGTGCAATCTTAAGTTCTCGAGTATAAAATTTCTGTAATTTATACAAAATACAAGGCATGGAATAAAACATTTGAATCAATTTTCGCTAGGGACAGAAGTCATAGAATCTAAAAGGTTGCAATGAGTCTGCTAGGGTCACAGCAAAACTTTGGTTATCTGACCTAGGTGGGGAACTGTTACAGTGTGGACTGTAATGCCAGGACAAAAATCATTAGATGCTGAGTAGCAACCTGTAACCTACAAAAACAATAGAATCTTCTACATGTCAATGCAATATTTTTTCAATGAATCAATGATGGAAGAGGAAAGATTGTAATTAATAATCCATATAGCATCTGATTATGGTTCTGATTGTTGTATAAGAGCAAATGCTTACAATAATCATCACCATATATTCATTATATTATTTTCCACAAAGGCTTTACTTTTTTTTTCTTCTTTTTCTTTTTCTGAATAGCAAACCAAATTGAAAGCCAAAAAATAAGTACAAAAGAAATCAATTGACCACGCATTTATAAACAAGTACAATGGATATGGGACTTGCAATATTATGAAGAAATTGTGTCTTGAAGCTCGGACCCATACGAATATCCTGATTCAATTTGACTACGAAAAATCATATTATTGACAAATTATTAATATAACGGAAACGAGAATCTTATTCATAACTTATATATGTGAAAACCATATCAGCTAATCACACTCAAAAAAGAAGAAAACTACATCTAATGGTTGATGGTTCATGTGGGCTTAAATTGTAGCCACAAATTCTGACGAACGCAGAAGTTTAAAGGTTACATTAAAATTGCATATTCTTTATATATAAAGTATAAAGCTATAAAGTATATTCGTGATAAATCTAGTCATGTATAGAAATTTAGGGAGCATATTCTTCAAATCATGGAATATAAATACTATTGAAGCTAAAGAAACTCCTATAAAAGATAAAATAAAATTGCAAGCACATCCGCCACGTACTCATTCTAATGCATCCACCGTCTTTCATGTTGTTTTTTCGCCAATGGGAGAGTATATATTGTCTCCATCAAAGGAAAACCAAAACAAATTTGAAAAGGATTGCTGGTACATTTTTTAAAGATAAAACTCAGAAAAATAAAGTATAAAGCTATTAAACAAATATATAGAAACTTGAAATTCCTATTTAAATTTAAAAACTCCCCAAAACCCTTGTTGCATAAAAAATGATGACTTCTAACTTAATAATAATTAATAACAATACAAAAGTGAATAAAACCAATATAAATATAGAGCAAAAAATATTATTTTTAAGACAGCATTAAATTTTTGATTCAGAAACCCTTTTACAACAAAAATCGAGAAAATAAATGGATTCAGTGATCTCCACTGACCAATAAAACTCAATCGGAAAAGGCTAATAGTTGAATTAATATGTAACCTTCACCACTGCAGAAGGACCATTGCCAGAAGAAAGCCACTGTAGAGGTGGTAGTTGGTTGCTATGCTATTAGCAGTTAATATGATTTGATGCAGTAACAGGAGTATGAGAGGTGAATTTTCATTGAAGTGTTGATTTATTTTAAAATATAAGTGGCAAGGCCTGTGTTTACCAGATAAACATAGGCAAAAATTAATATATACTATGTTTGATTGGTAATTAACCTCTTCAATATCAAATTGATGCTGCCTACATTATTCACAATATAAAGCATGTTTGTCCCCACTCAATATATGATATCACAACACTAGCAGCTAGAACAAGCTATTTGTAATAATTAATAGAAAGGGGAGGGAGCATTCACCATAACAAAAACAAAAAAAAGTTGAAACAGTAACAACACAATGGTGGTTGTTAGGAAAGCTAATTATCCACAATGAAGTATAAGAAATGCTAACTTTATATCTGCATCAAACTCAGAAAAATCTGTCTGCAGCTTGTGCAGAATATATATATATCAAGAATTAATTATCACATCCAGAATCTTCATTTCAATATTAAAAAACACACTACAAAATCCAAAGGAAAAAAAGAATTTAACAGGAAAACCACCAAAACAATGAAGATTCTTATATATATATAGCTAGGAGAATCAAAATATTAGCAAAATGATGCTCACATTCTGAAGCTCTCAAAACTACTTTGTAGTAAACACATCAAAACAACGTACAACACTACAGTTAAGTTGATAGGGTTTATCTCATAAACCAACAAAAACCGGTTAAAACACCCATCCAAATGTCCAAGAAACCAGAATCTAGCTTAACCTTAGGTAGGCACAAACACTAGTCAACAAGAACAATTACCTCTGACCAAGTAAACAAACCTCGTTCGCATGTGCAAGAATTATAAAATATACAAGGGGAAGAACATGAAATCAGGAAGATAATGTTAGACAGAGAGAGCAAGAACTTTGAGAAAAAATAAAAACAAAAAATGTGAGGACCATACTATATGACGTGAATGGTCCCATGCTATGCTATAGTAGTGTGCATATAATAAAAAAAATTGCCACTAATTAATGAGGGGGTTCGTTTGGCCACGCTATCCAAAGTCACCGCTTTATGTTTAATCACAGATTAATATTAAATTGAATCATTATTAACGACTATATTATAATAATAATATAAATAAAATCAATCAATCAATCAGATAATAGATCATCAAACTCATAAAAATAAAAATAAAAAAATAGGGAAAAGAAAGAAAGCAACACTGCTTTTCACTGTTTGATATAATAAACCTGTCGCAGTAGCCATCTATGTTGTTCATCTTGATGAGAGTGTGGAGAGTGGGAGGGTGGTTTGGGGTTTTATTTGGGAATGGAACAAAGCAGAGCCAGATTGAAAGTAATTTCCAGCACTGGAAGTTGACAGAAAGAGAAGTGAGCACGCAAAAGCAACAGTATATAACTATACCAAGTGCCTCTGTGTGCTCACTCTCTTCTGTCAATTTCTATGTCCCAAGAAATAAAAACCAACTCCATCACTAAATAGTAAATACTAATACCTCCCCAAATTTGGAAAGCTTCAGAAAAACAAAAGCTCTTTTCAAAATTCAAAAGGGGAAAAAAATTCAGATCTGGAAGAATAGAGAGATAACCTTTAAAGGAAAACCAACGACTGTACACTGTGATCCACCCACCATCTTATTCTTCATCAAATTTAATTTATTACTAGAAAAATTTATTAGGGTTTGGTCCATCTCAAAAGAAAAAAAAAAAACATCTTATAACGTATCAATTTTGTAATTAAAAGGCAAAATAAAGTATGTTATCAACACAGACTATATAGTAAAAAAAATCTGTTAATTCTTTTAAGATATATAGTTTTAAAATAATTGTTAATAAAGGTGAGATGAAATGAGAAGGAAGCAAAGATGCAAGATGAAGCCCACAAGCATAACACTTTGAAAGGGCTTACTCATGCAAAACGTAGGAATGACACATAGCAGATCCCACCCCCCACCCACACACACAAAACCACACTCTCACAGTTGAGAGACTGAATCTGTATAAGAGTTGCAGTTGCACCCTTTTGAAATGGAGATGATGATGGAGCAGCCTTTGTCATGGACGCAGACCCTTAAATAGTCAAATGTCACAAACTCTTCTTTTATCTACCTTTGGTTGGTTTTGTGGCTACTAAATATATGAAAAGGTTATAATTCAATTTATGACATTTACTCTGTGAAGCTGAAGGGTGAATGTGACGTGTTGAGGAGAAGACAAAGAGAACACATGAGAGTGGGGGCGGAGTGTACAAAGAAAAAGAGAAGGAATTGTGAGCGTAGGATGAGAGAAGGAGCGTTCTCTGCCGTCTGATCTTATGGGAATTTGGGCTGATTGGACATTGGGCCTGCGACATTTGGGGGAGACAACGATTGGGATACACTGCGACCACACGTACTGTAACGTTTCCCAAACATCACCTCATCTTGCATTGCATTGCTTCTTGTACTCTCTCTTTTCTTCCCTACTTGCAACGCTTTTCCAACTTTCACTTTACATTATTTTCTTTTTATCAATCAAAATTATAATAACCATACTAAAATTTAAATTTTAGATTTTATATACTTTATTTTAACTTTATCACCCTAATCTTATACCTTATTTTCCATTGTATTTCTTTTTATATTCACTATTTTCTATGACTATTATTACCACTATTATAAAAAAAAATTATCATATAATAATACACATTTTATAGTAATGCATATTTATTATTAAAAATTATTTTTATTTACATTATAAATATAATATATATTGATATATTATTAAAAAATATAGGTATAAATTATAATAACATATAATATATGTTTTTAAATTTTATTTAAAATTAAAACTAAAATTATGTATAGTTATATATCAAATAGATTTATATCTGCATATACTGTATTTATAATAACACTTTTATATGTCATTATATAATGTTTATTATAATGTATCGTTGTCATCACTCACTTATTAGTTATCACATGTCAATCACAACCAATTCTTTCATTATTGTCGCTGCCACACGATTGTGGGACAATGATAATAAGTGTAGTGATAATGATGATGATTGCAATAAGATAGTTATCATTATTGTTACTACCCATAATAGGTGTGGAGATAATAATGATACTGACAACGATGATGATTATCTAGTACCATAATCATTTCTCCCACTACATTTGCCATTGTATAACAATGACAATGATGAGAAGATTATTATAGTTATCATGTGAGAAGATTATTGATTAAAAATATAACTTTAATTGAAAACTAAATTCAATATACTAATTTTAATCTAAAAATTATTTATTAACTCATTCATTTTTCATAATAAGACATTGCTCTTGAATAAAAAACAATTAATCTCATTAAATGTGCTTTTATATATATGACAATCTATAATTGACTGACGATGTAATATTATTTTATATCCTCAATACATATTATTTTTCTTTAAGCTAATATCTTATTAATATATATTGTATTTTAATATAAATGAATATTAGTAATTTTTTCTTTATGTAACTTTTAAAGTTTTCAATAAATAATTTTAGACTTATACTAAATAGTCTGGCATGTATCAACTTTGAGGAGAATTGAGAAATATATTTTCTAAATTTGTGTTAGTATGTGTGTTTAAATTTTCATTTGGTGTCAGTTAAGGATGGTAATAGGATTGGATAAGTAATAGGTACCTGTCCTCTGGAGTGCAAGTATCCATTTAGTGAATATTTATAAATTTTATATATATATATATATACATATATATATATATATATATATTTACGTGTATCCAAAAATATTTAATAACATATAAAATTTTAAATAAAAAATATAAGAAATAATTATAACAAAATATAAATAATTTCAAAAAATAAATAATTATGATATATATTTAGCGTAAAAAAATAACAAACCAAATTATTTTACAAGGATTTAAATTTTTTTAAATATTTTTAAAGTGCTTATTCCTACAAATACAAATACTTTACAATCCATTCTTACTCTATTATTAAGTAAATATGCGTTTAATTATCTATTTTAAAATCATAATAAGTTTATTCTTCTCAAAAGTAAGAGTATTGTTCACCATCCTAACTTCAATCCTTTTTTTTCTGGCCACATTCAACGACATTGAAATATGTGAGGTTGTTTAGCAAATACACACTAATATATGATATTATTATTTGAAATAGTCAAAATATCAACAATATATACTCTAATGTTTAATATTTGTATATAATTCAATAATATATATTACGTCATTTTTTTTACATTAATGAGATATCAAATATTTTAAATTAATATAAATATTTTAAATATTATTTATATAAAATAAATTTTCATGATTTTTGAGATAATATTATTCA